AGAAGAAAGAAATTAGGTATAATTTTTTTTAAAAAAAAGCAAGGGAATATGGAGGTGGAAGCAAGAAGGCAGGAGGGAGTCAAAGAATTACAAATGTAAGGATTTACATGGAGACATCAGGCTGAGCATCTCTAACAGCACTTCTGTGAGCACACTGAGCACATGCAAGGATGTGGGGAAGCTGCCCAGTGGTGGCAAACACAAAGATGGGTCAGGATGAGAAAAGCAGAACTGTTCCACAGGCACTGGGATAGCCCTCCAAGCTGCCCTGTCCAAGAGCTGATGATGAGGGGTTCATCCAAGGTGAGAACGTCACTGACTTGAAAATTCTGCTATCTGGTGGGGCCTTGGAAGGGATATGCAATTTACAGGCTACTGGATAGATGGCCCCTTGGTTTAATTCCACACAAGAGTTCTCAGGGTCTTTGCACATGCTATCCTCATTCAGAATGATGTAATTGGTTTCCACCTCAATTTGCCCACCAAGCCTATGGTTACTGTATTTTTGGTACAGCACAGATCTAGCTGCAACCAAGTCACTCCCATCATGTGGCCTTGCCCAGCTCTGGCTCACATCTCATGGACATAGATTTTGAGGGAGATCTCATTATGTACAATAACCATGCTAGGATTAAGCCATTGCTTACAGATTTCTGCGAAAATAAAAAAAAAAATAAATCCACAAATGCCATAATACCATTATTCAGCTTCCCCATGGTGATCCTGAATGCTGCTGAAAGGAGCACCATGTGCAGTATACACCATGCAAGTATAAAAGCCTGCATGAAACCAGACGAGCTCTAAAGCTGCCTTACTCCAACACGTGTGTGAAACAAGCAGCAACCAGATTCACTAATGGTGACATTGTTTGCAGCTGGCTTATCAAGCTGCTACTAAGCTTTACAAGATGATTTTTAGATAGGCTATGCTCAGCAAAAAACGCACAATGTGAATGTGCTAATGCACAGAAATGCTAATGGGAATGTAACAGTATTCTACTGCTTTATAACATGAATGTTACATAGGGAAATGAAAGGAAATTCGAGAAGGAAATGGTCACCATGCTTCAGATACAAGCCACAATCATACATACATATATATCTCTGCTTTTTCTTTCTATTCTTTATATATTTATACAGTTCTACAGAAAATTTCAGAAAAAGTTACCAAAAAATCCCAAATGTTGCAAAGATTATGAAAATCACACATGCATATATTTAGAGTCTTCTCTCTCTAAATTTCATATTAAAATATGTTTGCTTATCTTCCTGCTGGAACACAAACTATGCTAACACTTTCTAATCTGTGGTTAACCTGCTGTGAAGAGTAAGGCAAAACAAAAGATTTTTTTCACCCATGGTAGGAAAATATTCTGGCAAACATTCTTGTATGAAAATCTTTATTGTACCCATGCATTCAAGGACACAGAGGACTGTGTCAAGGTTCTTTTTTATAAGAACAAAATGAAAATAAAATATCAAATAGTGCTCAAAAAGGGAGTACTATCCATCTTGTTATGTATGTAGAGAAAAAAAAGTAGCATGTGAGTGTATAATTAAAAACTCTGTATTATATAAATGCATTGGAAGAGTAATTAAGGTTGTATAGGCACCATTTTTTGAGTTTTGAAGACTTCATTGTACAGTCTGAACCACATCTTTTATCATAAGTTTTGGTGAAGACATCAAAGTAATAGGGATGTAAACTAATAATGAACTAATTACTAACTTATTTTCTAAAATTTCACAAAGACATTAAGAGACATTAATCTTGAAGGCCTAAAAAGAGTAGAATTGAACAAAGAGAAAAAAAATCAACTCCTCTAATTAAGAACCATTACATTTTCTAATGACAAAAGCTAAATGTAAAGAATTCTCCCAAAAATTCAGTAGGGAAAAACCTGAATTTTCAGGTTATTTAAGAAAACTAAACAAGGTAGCAAAGCCTCCCAGCCCATGCAGTGGAAACACATAGGACAGGCAGAGAAAAAAGAGATTCATGACCTATTCTCATCTCTGTGATTCACATTCCAGTGCCAATGCAGTCATTTACTTAGCAGCAATTGTCTTCAAAGTGCTGCGCAAACATTTTTCTTTCCATTATCACCTCCACTTCTTCCTTGTCTGCAGTGGGGTAAAAAGTAAAATCTTTCCTAAGAAATGGAGAAAAGAACAATGGGAAAAATGAACAAAAGGTTTTCAGTGATCTGGCCATGGCCAGAGAAATGTCCAACAAAAATAGGATGAAAGCCACAGTTATGCCTCACTGTTATTTAGAAGCAATTCAGAGGTGTTTTGCTCATTAGCATGTCCTTACAGCCCGTACAGCCACAGACCTGGAGACAGCCTGGCCTGCAAATGCATTATAATGTCAACCAAGGAAAGGCACAGATTATGAAAGAAAACAAGTCCTAGCCTTGCTAGGCCACCCTGGAGCTTAATTCATGCTCCTGCAAAATTTGTGTGAAACACAGCATCAAAAAGTGGCAGTCAGTGGAACAGAAATGATGTATGAGGTGTCGCGTAACTGCTCCTGCACACGCCGAGATTTGACATGAAACTGATTGCCAAGCAATTTCTTGCACCGCTTTCTCGGCACTCCCCGCCCCGGGAGCCCAGGAACTGCTTCCTGGGGGAGACCCGAACTGTCATCATCGTCCCCCAGGCCTGGCAACCCACGCCGACTTCCTCGGAAAGGGCTGCAGGCAGTCCCGGTCCCGGACACCCGGGCATAGGGCACAGCGCCGTTCCCGGCGGCGAAGGGAGCGGGAAGCGCTGCTGCCACTGCGGCGGCAGCAGGGAAGCGAGATCCCTCCCGCAAGGGCGGGGTAACCATCCCACCCTGCCAGCAGCCCGCGCCGCTGCTCTAGCTCGGAGAACAGGAAAATCAGCTAAATAGAAGAGACAGACGCTGGGGCGGGTCCGCTGCCTACTGGGCGTGCCGGGCGGGGGATGGGAAGCCGAGCAGAGATGCTCAGTGTCAGCGCAGCCACGATGTCACGTCCCTCCCCGGGCAGCTGAGCCCCGCCGAGCCAAGCCGAGCGCAGGTGCCGCCCCGAGCCGGGAAGGCACCAGGGCGGCGGGGCCGGGCGGGGCCGGCGGCGAGACCCTCCCCGCTCCGCGGGACCGGGCTCAGCCGCACCCATCCCCGCCTGCCCCCTCCTCGTCCGCCCCATCCGACCCCACCCTGCCTGCCCCACCCCATCCCTCCCGCCCGCCCCGCCCGGGTGCAGCGGCCCCGGGAGCGCCGCCGGCTGCTCCAGCACCACGGAGAGCGCCCGGGCAGCCTCGGCCCGCCCGCCCGCCCGGGGAGGCACCACCCGTGCCCGGGCAGCGGAGCCGGGCGCGGCCCGCGGCTGGGCGAGGCTGCCCTCGTGTGCGCAGCACTGCGCCGCTGCTCACCATTTCCTTTCGGGAATACGCTCCTCTCACTACAGACATCCAGTCGCAGTCCTGTCCCCTGCTCACCAACACCCCTACGCAGCCACAGAACCGAAGGAGTGAAACACCCTAGAAAGCCACCGGTCCACCGGCGCTCCCGGGGCTGCCTTCCTGCTTTCCCCGCGGGCAAATGTACCCATCCCCTCTGCCTGCACCTCGGCAGGGAGCCATCACGGTCTGCCCCGCCTCAGCTCACATGCTGGTATCTGTGCACGGGGATGTTTCTCCCCACACTCTCACTTCTAGACTTTACTATTCTCATTTAAAGAAAAAACCTAGTTTAGTTTTTAATGTCATCATTAATGTCCCTAAAGAGAAAGCTAGTTTTATGATCATGCTCTGGGTGATGCTTCACTCAAAGATGCTCTTCACTGACTTAGAGGAAGCTTGAGAAGCATATAATGGTGGGTTACTTGTTCTAGGGAAGCACACATAGAGCGAGAGCATCACTCTGTGTGTGTGCTTCATCACGTTAACATCACGCTAACATCACGTTAGCGACGGCACGCAGTGTGGGCTGTGCAGCTGCAAGCAGCCCCACACAGGAACAACAATGGTGCCAATGCCCTGCTTTTCCCACCCACTCATACATACACCATGAAACACATCTACAAGTAATGTCCTCCAAACTGCAAGCTGAAATTTTGCCCTGTGCCCTGTCTGGAAACAGTGTGGGAGTCTGGTATCCCTGAAAGCTCTTAACAATAAGGCTGGTTATCCCCTGGGAGAGGCAAATGAGCTGCAGCTGGACAGTGAGATGAGAAGGTAAAGGTGGAGCATCCTTCTCTTTTTGCCAAGGTCTTGGATACTGGCTCCTCTAGGCCAGCAACTGCTTCCGGGCCTACAAGGTGTACAAACAGGTCCCATCACTGCCATGTTTCTAGAAATGTTTCCATTAACCTCCACCACAATTGTTTAGTTTGTCAGTTATGTCACTGGCTTTCCTCTTGGCAGGGATAGCGAATTCTTAAAATTAGTGTAGGGAATTCTTAGAACATTTCCATCCCCTTTCATGTAGTGACCATATCAGATCCCATCCTGCACACTTTATCAAGGGAATCAAACTCGTATCTTCCCAGTGACTCTTACCATAATGCATCAGGGAAGTAGTTACTGACTTCTGCCCACATTTATCCTATTTTGGGATTTCCAGAGCTCTTTGAGAATGTAAGCAGGTCCAGCTGCCATTTCCCAAGGTCAAGAAAAGTTTGACATGACCAAGGTTAGGTCTGGGAAAACAGTAAAATGGGTACTAAAATGCAGAAACATTCAGTATAAAACAATTGAATAAGATATCTGGGTATCCTTGCAGGAGGCAAAAATAATCTGAGCAGCTGTTTTACTGAAATGGTCTAGGAATGGTCCCTCTTCTTGTTGTATCTTTGGAATGAAATATGTTAAAATGAATTTGTGCATGTTTTACAGGTGGCAACAGCAGAGCCTTCAACACCAATAGGCTTTTTTCATGTAAGACATAAAACATTTGACATGGAATGTACTATTAACGCCAGACCGAGGGGGGAGAAGCATCCAAGGACTGATTTCCATTTCAAACTGCATTCTGGCACTTTGTACTCCAGCACCATTGGTGGATCAATATTTAATGCCCGGAGATTCTGGCTCTGCAGGAGTCATGTCAGGGGACCTCTCGAGCCAATCTGCTTGGGTAGAGGAGTGATAATTATTCATGGGCTCCTGCCTCTTGCTCCTTCTCTTGCACAGCCCCACTCTGCTGACTCAGTGCCTTATTCAGTCTTCTCTCCCTCTCTCCACTGCTGTAGCTGGACCCTTTTGCCTTCAGCGCCTCTGAGAGCTGCACATCCCAGCATGGCTAAAACAGCAATGGGTAAGAAAACGCCTCTCTTTTCATTCAGCCAGTACTACGGCTACTGTCTCCTAGGTCTGCTACCTACACTGGGTGTTCTTCTCGCTGTCTCAGAAGTTTAGGAAAAAAAAATATAATCAAGAGAACACTGAACATATTTTTAATTTCATTGATCAGAGAAGAAAAAGGAGGATGGGTGGGACCTGGGGCTGTTTTAGTATCCTAACCAGAGATCGGATTAATTATATACTGATGGGTGAGGTCGGCATATGAGTACAGGGTAATTTTGAAACGGTTTTCATTATTTTAAAGA